ATACACACACATACACTCCCTCTGGCAGAACTACGGCACAGCACACACAAGAATGCATTATCTCGTAGACACACAACCTCAGATTCATTCATACTTCAGCACACACACACACACACACACACACGTTTCAGCTCTGCCAATCATGTTTGCGCACACAAATAAACTGGCACTAACAAGGCATCTACGCACAGAGCACAGACTTACTCCATCCCTTTACTCTGTGGCATCACTACACAGATATACAATATTGTGGTGATGTACGTCACAAATACACACATTATTATAATTTAAAATAAGATTTTTCTATTTTCATGTATTTTTAAAATGTTATTACTGTGATGGCAAAGCTGATTTTTTTTTTAGCATTCGTTACTCCAGTCTTCAGTGTCACATGATCCTTCATAAATCATTTAAATATGCTGATTTGCTGTTCAAGCAACATTTCTTATTGTCAGTGTTGAAAACAATTCTGTAGCTTAAAATTGTGGAAACCATGGTGCATTTTCCTCCAGAATACTTTGATGAATATAAAGTTCAAAAGAACAGCAATTTAATGCGTTCTTACTCATTAAAAGTATTAATTTCTTTATAAAATCTTTTGAATGGTAATGTTTTTATTTCTATTTTATTTCAAATTTGTCTTTTCAATTTGAGTTTAGTTTTCATTTGTTCTCACGTTATTCTTTTTCAGATTTTTTTTCCGTTTTTATTTTAAATATGTTAGACCTGCTAAAGATAATGTGCAAACAGGCAAAAAATGTTTCATGTTTGTTAATTTCTTACATTCTAGTGTAATTGCATTACAATTTAATGCAGGTGGTTTGTCTAGGTTTCAAGTTTTACCATGTTTCAAAAACAAATGAATTTTCGGTCATTTTGATTTGATTTTAGTTCATTTTGGTGTCATAAAATGTATTTTAGTTTAGTATCAGTTTTCTTAAATGATGATAGCACATTATGAAAGTTATGAGATGTGAAAAATGTCTCATGTTAACTATTTTCATTCCTCAGTGCAAATGTATTTACACTTCTTAAACACTGAACTTATTTATCTAGAAGCTTCAAGCCTTGCTGCATGCCTATAGTGTGTGTGTGTGTGTGTGTAGTGTGTGTGTTTACCTGGTATTCCCTACGTTATGGAGACCAGATGTTCCCACAAGGACAGTAATACCAGTAAATTTTGATCTTGTACGGACATTGTTTGGTCCCTATAAGGAAAACCGCTTATAAATTATACAGAATTACGTTTTTTGAAAATTTAAGTTACACCATTCTGTGAGGGGTAGGGTTAAGGTGAAGGGATAGAAATACAGTTTGTGCAGTATAAAATAATTATGTCTACGGAATGTCCCCATAAAACATGGAAACCTGTGTGTGTGTGTGTGACAGAAGAGATGAATGTCCCTTCATTTACTGTGTGTGTCTGTGTGTTAATTTCCCACCAACTTGCATTAGAGCTGGCTACTATAGGTGTTGTCTCCGGTAGGTAAGATGACTGAGGGTGGACAGACGTGCTGAGTCAGCTGACGGACCTTTTGCCTGCCACACGCCTGTCTCACCGCAGGACGAGGCAGACAGCTAAGGTCTATATCTTCTGTTCTCTGGCTCTCGCTGCATCAGCCTCTTCGTGACTGCTGTGGGCACAGTGTCCGCCAGAGTCTGCCCGTTGATGAAAATGTGAGTAGCGCTTGCTTGTGCAAAACTCGCCACCACAGTGCTAGAGTGTTTTGAGGAGTCAGAGGAGAGAGTGAGGATACACACACTCTTTGAGCTCTGGTAAAGATGACAGAAGGGATAACTGTCATTTTACCTTGAAAAGCAAGGACTTTGAATGTTGGCTTGACAAAGACTTTTGAAAAATGTCTAAAAAGGCCTGATGGATGGATGGATGGATGGATGGATAGATAGATACCTTACAAACGTTGGTGGTCCATACAATTTATTAATGTTTTTGAAAGAAGTATCACTAACATTTTATTGTACCGTTTCCTTATTACATGTTTCATGTTCTTACTATAGTAATAACAATACATTATGCATAATTATATGCAAATAACCCTAAACCAAACCCTCATCCTAACCCTAACCATTACTTAAATGTATTATTACACTGTAACAAGAACACTGTGTAACAAAAGTATCATACTCATCAAGGCTGCATTTATTTAATCATAACAGTAATATAGTTAAATATTATTACAATGTAAAATAACAAATAACACTAAAATTCTAATTTAATATACTTTAAAATATAATTTATTCCTGTGATGGTGAAACTAAAGTTCAGCAGCCATCTACTCCAGTCTTCAGTGTCACATGATTCTTCAGAAATCATAATCATATACTGATTTGATGCTCAAGAAACATATCTTAATATTATCAATGTTGATAACAGTTGTGCTGCTTAATATTTTTGTGGTAACTGATAAATTTTTCAAGATTTTCTTTTGAATAGAACATTTATTTATAATAGCATTATTTAAAATTTATTTTTTGTAAAGTGATGAGAATGCCTGACCTATGTTATATGTCTTTGAATTGTAACTCAGTAAATTGCAAATTCTCTTCCCGCTGTTCCAATTCAAATTCCAGTTCTACTTCCTGTGGGTGTGACCAAATTTACACTCATGAATTGAAAGGAAGTGTTGCTCAACCCTGTGATCTGAATTGGTTGAATATGGAGTAAAAATGGCCACTAGCATCCAGCAGCACTGATTTAACTGGTGTCAGTGTGAATGAGGCTTTAGAAACTGAGTTACGTGCCATTGTTAAATATTTAAGATTAGTGGTTTGTTCAAATCCTGATTTGTTAGTTGGTTAATGTTTGTGTCTGTGTAGTGCTCGCATTCATTTAAATTATTATAAGACACACATTAGGCAGCCAATTGAGCATCAAAATTCCAGAGATTTAAAAGCAACTGGGAACGCGTGGCAAAAAATGTTAAGGTTTTATTACCAAACACCAGAGAGATGTTTGACTATCAGCTCGGCAACGATTGATTCATTCATTGATTCATTTCTCAGTTGATTTGTCCTTCACTCTAAATATCCACAATCCTCCTCAACAGAACAGCTGGTGTGTGTGTGTTAACAGGTCATTACGTGTGTGTGCGCATCTGTGGTAATTTGTTTTAGCTTTGTTATATGTGTGATAAATGATTTGGTCATGTGAAGGGCAGCCATAATTAGAAGAGGCTGGTACAGTGGGCTGATTACCCTGGGCACAGTCTTTCTCTCTCTTACACACACACACTTACTTTCCTTGGCTGGAAGTAGGACTGATAATATCAGCATTAATGATATCTGCAGGAACACAGATTAGGTGACTGATATGTTTTGGATCTGATTGTCAGTAAAAGGCCTCATAGATTTTCACTTGTGAACAGCTGATCTAAGATCATTTGTTAACCCTGTACAGCCCTGTATGTCAACAGAATTGAGCTTAAATTAAAAAACGTCTGTTACACTCAGATTAAGTTGTGTAAGGAATTTTATAGTGTGTTTGCAACCCATTTTGTTACGTGTGTGCTAACAGCAGATGCTTTTATTCAAAGCAACATACAGTGCAACTTTCAGTGTATACTTTTGATCAGTATATGTATTTCAGTTGACCTTGGCACTGCACTAGTCACGGGAACAAATAGTTACATAATGTGAGGCATTTCAAGGTAGGATAAAATAGGATAGTCAATGAGAAAAAAGGTCAGACAAGATTTGATTTTTCTCTCTGTGACAGGTGGTTTGGAAGAAAAATAGGAGGGTTTGGTTATGTTGGCTGTGTTGGAAAATAGTTAACAATATTACAAGGGTAGTTTAATGGTTGACACTGATAATCAGAGCAAGCTAAATGAAAGCTATAGAAATGCAATTTAAAAGGATAGGTAACCCAAAAATGTAAATTTTGTCATAATTTACTCATCCCAATATCGTTCCAAACGGTATATAGGAACTCAAAAGACGAAATGTTGTTTGGACACAAATGTTCCTTTATATTCCACAGGAGAAATAAAATTATACAGGTTTGGAAATACATGTGGGTGAGTATATGATGACACAATTTACATTTTTGTTCGAACTGTCTCTTTAATGAGAACAAATAAGATTGCTGAATATAAATGATTTTGGATCAAATTCCATTTAAGGATGGCCAGTTCCTTTATTCATCCAATCTGGCACAGACCATCTCAAAATGGCCCAATAATGTTTGATTATTCAGGCTGGCTGATGTATCAGCCTACAAGTAGTAGAGAATGTGATATTAAATTAGATCACATATGATCTAAAATCATAAAATTACACATTTTATGGAGTATAATTTTAGGTGCACAGATGTAAGCTAAAGGACAACGTTAAGCAGGATTAAAGACTGAATGCTCCTCTATAGACCAAATGAGATATTTTTGACCTCTTGCTCCACGCAATTATTCCACATATGGTCTTGCGTGGTGTTTTAAACGTTGTTTCAAGGCACGCGCGCAGATGTGATATTACATGCACATGAATTATGGTGCATCTTCTCGGTCCCAGCTGATGCGATGACGTAGACGCGTGTGTCCGCGTGTGTTCGGCGGAGGGTGTGTTTCCAAGGCGAAATCTGGAGAAGGGGGGAGAGAGAGGTGACTTTAATTCTCAATATTTGCCATCTTCAAATTCTCCCTCTCGTGATGCACGGAAAAACGAGCAGGACAAGTCGCGCAGTCTCTCAACTGCATGATCAAATGAAGCCGTAATTAAGCAAGCCGGTGATGCCTGCAGATGAAATGCACAGATGCTGACGGATGGACGTACGGTTGTAGATGCAGCGGTTGCACCGGTGCTGACTCGGGATGCTTGGTCATGAAATGATACGAGGCCCGCTTGGTTGTGAGAACACCAACTTGTTTCCTGCGCTATAACGTGAGACGGACAGAGAGCGAGAGGATCTGCCGGAACTGGGCAGGCACCGGAGTCGGTCCGTGTGTGCGTGTGCGCACGAGTGAGGAGGGCGAAAGCGGCCCTGGGGTATTTCTGCACCGAGGAGCAGCCAGCTGCACGTTTAACGGAGAGGAAACCGATCCGGCTGGAATAATTGGCGTTGCCGAAAATCATTTAGGACGAAAGCATTACTCGTTTGCTCAAATCACAGGTACGTACCTTCCGTTCAATGCGTTTGCGCGTAGCTATTGGTTAAGTCAGCGATAATTAGTGCAGTTCGAGGCACCACCGGCTTTATTTAGGGGTAGTTTGAATGTTGCGAATTTGCCTCGGTAAACGTCAGCCGCTGTTCGGAGTGGATGTGATCAGCGCGATGTGGAATTGCTGTGGAGAGAGAATGTCTCCAAATTTGCGTCACAGGATCATTTCCACCATAATGCCACTCAAACGTAAAATAATAATTGGCAGTGCTGAATTCGTCATCGTAGTGATTACAGAAAGCACCATAATGATCTCGATTATTTTATTTTTATGATAAAATTTGGATTTAATTAATAGTGATTTAGAGACTCGTATGGATCATTTGGGCTGAGAACCGAGAACCGGTTTCGTTTTTTAAACAAATGTTTTCCTGACGTTTCGGTCAGCAGTTTCCGAACGTAGCTTCATCCGCTAATGCGGACAGATCACCGTACTAAAATACTCTCGACAGCGTTTCCTGCACTACTATTCAGCGGCAACACCGCTACCGAATCTAGTGATCAGTATAGTTCGATTCCCGAACAAATGACTCATCTGAGCCGGTTCTTTTTGAGTGAATCATCAACATGCTGCGCGGCCAATGTAGACCGATTCCTGAACGATTTACTCTTATGAGCCGGTTCTTCTTAGTGAATCCAAAACTTACAGCGCGGCCAATCTAGTTCGAATCCCTAACGAGTGACTCTTATGAGCCGGTTCTTTTTTGGGAATCAAAAACACGTATCAATCAGTCGGAGCCGTTTGAGTGAGTGACTTACTGAACCCCAATTTATTAGTTTCATCAGGTTCATCTTTTGACTGCTGTTTGAAGTAATTGTGAAAAATTCGTATTTTCATTTTTTGTGTTCAAAAGTATTAGAAATCGCTCAAAGAACTGCAATCGGAACGAGCATTGTTAAATGTCTTACTACTTCCATCCCTGTGGAACATTTATAAGGAGAAGTGTCGCTCGAGGCGGGCGTGAAACCATTTATGATCTGTTTGTTCAGTCATCTGCCTTTTAAACGGAGGATGTGCGCGTTTCTACGTACGTTTCTGAACGTAATACCCTCCCGAGTCTTTCACAGAATCCCAGCATCCTACACGTCAAATTTGGTCCACCAGTTTTTAGGTCCCTCATGCTGTATTTCTGTCAAACATGATGGTAAACTCACACTTGAGGCATTGTGGATTTGTAATATGTGCATATGGGATTGTAGAGTTAGTCATCTGATGTGAGTTCCTCATGTTCTTTTGGGGGTCCGAACAAGTAAAGAGAATTTGCTGAGATATGTGATTAATTCAAGACAGCTGCCACCTGCCACACTCTCCTACACTCTGTTTATATCCCTATCAGGTGTTGCCCCAACTGGGGATTTCTTAAAATAGGGTGGGGGGAGGCTTGTGTTTGTGGGTGTCTCTAGTTCGCTCTGTCTCCTGTTACCCTGAGAGACGTGTAGCACTTCTTCTTTCCTCACCAGGACGGTGAAAGCCAGAACTTTGGGAAACAGCTATGCTGCCGGTGGCAAACTTGCTGTTGTGCATTTGTGTGCTATTTGGCTTTACAATGCCATTTGTGGGTGTGAGTGTGTATGACAAAAATACCTAAATTTGTATACACACTCGCAGACATGACTGACTGCCTCCAATTTTTTCTCTAATGAGCACACAAAATTCGTTAGCTTAAAGGCCTCATTAGTATGTTAATTAGCCTGAGTTGTTCATAGGCCTTTTGTGTGAATATTTGTAGTCTATTCATTGTGTGAAGTGAGAACACTAAGATGCCTCTCAGCGGCAGTTGTCAACAGTTGCGTATGAACGGATTTGCTGAGGGTTCTGCGACGCAGGCTGAGGTGTGATATACGACAAGCAGAGAGCGGAGGAGTGAAGACGGAAGTTCCCAAACATACTTTTTCCCCCACGATTTACGCCTAGTGCGTTGCCCATTTGCTAGTAAGTCCCAGTCATGTAGATTGTGTTTGCTTCGAAAAGCATCAAGGCAGCTATTTGCTGTTTGCCCATTGATTACAGGTGCCAACGAGGTACTTTAATGCATGCTGAGATCCACATGATCGTATTAGCCTGCTGCCCACAGGCATATCATTGCCATGGGAACAGCTGAGGCGGTGGAAAGGAGGTTACCCACGATTGGTTCACCATCCTGAAACGCTGCCAGTCATGTTTCTTGAGAGGTCTGACCTGATCTTGGTTTGAATGAGATTCAAACCCACCATCTGTGTGATTGGATCAAGACATTGTCAACGGCTCATAGTTTAACCTGTTGAATTCGTTGAGTTTCATTTCATTGAACCAGTGTTGGAGAAGTAGCCATAAGCTACTCGTAATTAAAAGTAGTTAAAGTGATCGTTTACCCATAAATGAAAATTCTGGCATCATTTACTCATACTCATGTTGTTACAAACCTGTATGATTTAGTTTTTTTCTGTGGAACTCAAAAGACGACATTTTTAAAATGTTTTAATTTTTTTAAACCATACGTTGACAAAAAGTCAATGAATCCCATGAATTGTTGTTATTGTTTAAATTAATTGAAATAAATCTGAAATCAAATACAATTATAAATTATATCTATAAACAGTAGAGTATGGTGCTAGCAACAGCTAGATCATGGGTTTGATTCCCAGGAAAAGCAAGAACTGCTAAATGTAAATTTGTACTCTGAAAGTATTCTCGCAACTTTGTAAAATTACAGTTGAACCTCTAATGTCACACAGACTGTTTTATCGATGTCCTTACTGCGTTTCTGGGCCTGGGAGCATTTCAGTTATGTTGCTGTTTATGCAGGGTCAGAAAGCTCTCTCGGATTTCATCAAAAATATCTTAATTTGTGTTCCGAAGATGAACGGAGGTCTTACGGGTTTAGAACAACATGAGGTTGAGTAATTAATGACATAATTTTCATTTATGGGTGAACTATCCCTTTAAGATTAGAACTGAAAAATAAAAGCTAATTCAACATATTATATTATTATATATAATTATATATATATAATAATAATAAAATAACACTGGTCTCATGGTGTTTGGATGACAGTATTCTTCAGAATGTCTTTTTCTTCTTTCACAGAAGAAAGTCAGTCATACAAGTTTTCTCCAGTCCACCAACAGAAATTGTATGCAGATAGTCTTTAAATTTCAATAATCAGATTATTTCAAACTAATGAATTTGGTTCTGACAGAAAAAGAGTGAGAAAAACAGACCAAGAGCAGGAGGAGGATGAAAGGAGAAATATGTAATTGTAAGCATGGAACAGCTACTTGCTCTCCGACCTATCTCTGTGTGGGCTTTCCAAGCAATGCTGTGTGAAAGTGTGTGTGTCGTCTCTTCTATTGTATTTTTAGTGCATTACTTTTTCATGCTGGCATTGACTCTGATGCTGAGAGAGTGAAAGAGACGGTATGCGTGTGTGTTGCCGTCTCTGTCAGCACTCTGCCATCTCATGGGTGTATTTGGAATAATGTATAAGATCTTTTTCATGTTCTGAAGTGTGTTTGCTTACCTCCAAGAGTGCATCAACACACACACACAGGAGACCTGCACCTCGAGACTTGGAGACTCAAATTGTGGTTTTATTACAGTGTTTTGGAGGGTCAAATTGGGATTATACTCTTACACATATGAGTGCATTTGACCAGAGCTGAAGATCTCCTGAGGTCGTCTGTGTGGGTGTTTAGCAGAGAGATCTTTCCTTCCAGTCCTCTGAGCAGCTACACACTCCTAATTCACAATACAATAACATGACCTGGGGATTATTAGTTTATTTTCCTCATTATTAGCAATAATCAACGTATTTTGTTAAATTAGTGCGGTTTAGTTATGTTTAATTAACATTAACTATAATGTTTAGTCAATTATTGTAGTTAGGCCTGGGCGATAAAACGGTATCGATATTTATCGACGGTATACCTTCTTCGATAACGATATAACAAATGTTCGATATAGTGCACGATATAGGCACGTGCTATGTGTGACGCAGACAGCACACACAAACACGAACACATGCTGAATTGAGTGCTGTGCCTGCCAGTGATGAGGAGATTGTGAATAAAAAAATAATATTAGTCGAATTTAAAATAAACATTTGCATTTGAATGTTAGGAGTGCGTCAGGGAGCGTCATCAGTGGTGCACGAGATGCGGTGATAATTATGTAAGTGACATTGTTGCATTTTAATGTTTTGTTAGTCTAGCCCACGAGATGCGCCGCTGCTGTGTTATGCATTCAAAATATTAGAGAAATATAGGTGAAATAAAGAAAAATATAATCTTGATTAGGTGAAAACCGAAACCAAGCCATTCACACAGAATGCATATTCAGCGCATTTTTTAGATGGACAAAATTTGACTGCTGCACTCGCGTCTCACACAAGAGATGTAGCCATGCAAAGTTAAAACCGTTTAAATTTTTAGAAAACACGTCGCGAATTTGTGGAGGTTTATTCCTTTTCACTGCGTCTCCACTTTTTTTTTATAGACAGTTATTTCCTTGAGTTGACAATTTAAATATGCGGCATTATTTTGCTCATTGTGTCCTCCTGTGGCCTCGGGAGACAAGCCTAAAGTTTCCTTAAAGGGGTCATATGATGTTGCTAAAACGAACATTATTTTGTGGTTTTATGTTTACGCGGCGCGATGCAACGCGTAAAAAGAAAGTAATCCGTAATTGTACATGTTTCCATTTACTTCAAAATTTCATGTTTAAATCAATGTGTTATTTGTCATTTCTGTGTAATTTTTGTTAAATTCACTAACAGTTTCTAAGTGACAATTGTTTCCACGCCATTTTTTCAGTATATGTAAAACATCGGAGCAAATTGTGATTTTTAAGTTTCACCTTTGTGTGGTTTGAAAATCTGTAGTCATCACATCCATACTATACCAAATGTGTATTGAAAAGCCACATATGAGTGCAGAGCTGCTCACAGAGGACATTTTTGTTGCATTTCTGTC